CAAACCCAAATTGGTCTTGATTTTCCTTACCCCATGTAAACAAATTGCCCTGATTCATGTGCAAATCATTCTAACCCAATTCTAATCTGATTTCTCTTTTGTATGCTTTTTCCATGTTGAAGAATTGATAGAGTGGACTTTGCAATCGAATTCTGCTAAGTCACAGGATATTTTCAAATTTATATTAAAATCACTTTTTTCCTAGTATCTTTGACAGCTACTTTTTAAACATCCTAAACCATTTGTCCGTGACAACAACGTAGACCTGAGTCTGAAAGTTTGATTTTCCAGAGAGCTGCACTGCACACATGCAGACTCTCTGCCAGGAGTGCTCAGTGAGAAACACATGATTATAATAGCTCACTGGTGCCATGTGGCTAAGCTAGTGTATTTTTGGGTATGGGAAGTGCAGCAAGATCGTGCCTAAACAAACAGCAAGCATCTTATGTTTCTGCAGGAGTTTAGAGGCTGCAACAAAGACTTGAGCTAAAAAGACTGCCAGAAAGTTCAAGCTGTGCGATGAACTTGTACAATAAAGCTTCCATACTCCTGGCATTTCTTCAGTATTTTAAATAACAGGGAATACATGCATTTGGCATTCTTAATGTTTTACATTTTATGTGTGTGCTATCTATGAAAAACCTACCAAAGGAACCAAATATTTCTTCTGATGAAATATTCCATATTTCATTCCCGCGTAAGGAAAACAGACATGCACATGAAAACGACTTGTGTGTCTGGTGCGTTCCTTGCAACATCAGCGTTGACCTCAGCTGATAGAAACCTTCACTGTCTTGCAAGTCTTCTTGTTCAACAGAAATTTCTTGGGGAAAGAAAAAAGAAAAAGAGAAAAGCTGCAAGACCCTCTCATTACACTCCAAACCGTAAATCAGAGCCACGGTGCTGAAAAGCAAGCTCATATAGCTGCAGGTTTCCTGGCTGAGATGTGGCAAGAACAGTGCAGTTATGGCAAGCTGTGCCATTTGGGGAGGTCTGATACACTCCCCTTCAGCCAGACGGACACCCTCAGGCTCCCTGTGGCAGGAGCGGATGAACAACCATCGCTTTTCTTGGGAAGCGCTTCTACAGCTGCGGCACTGTCTGGTTGACACGTTGCATTACCTCCAGGCTTCTCCGTCAGCCTCGCTCTATCCACGTACCAGACGAGGCTCGGCTTGGGAAATGCCTTCCTCACGACGCAGCTCACGTTAGGCTATGGGGCAATAAAAGCCAGTCATTAGCCTTCGCCATTTATCATCCATCCAAAATCCCTTATGGACAGAGCTTGTTTACTCACCATCCACTCGGGAAGGAAGCACTTGCTTCCCATTTATTGTGTTCTTCCCCCCTCATTTTTCTGGTTGCAGACACTGTTGAATGAGAGGCCAGGGATACCCCCATCGCCCTCGGCCATGTTGGGGGTGACAGGGCTCCAACACCCTCTGCTCCTGTGCTGTGGCCGGAGAGATGTAGGGTGACCCGCCAGCCCAGCACCTCAGTGAAAAACACTCACATGGAGAGACACTGGAATCAGTAACGGGCATGGTGTGTGCGGGGGAAAGGAGTCACCTACTGATTGCCATGGAAATTCTGCCTTTGTTAGGCAGATAGAGAGACAAACCACATGAAAAAGATTGCCTAGGACAATGATATACTGAACGTACAAAACCTTTGCAGAGGGCACAATATGTCAGGGGTTCCAGAAGTTATAAGGAATTGTGTGCTTTAGATGCATGCTTTAGTAGCCTTGGCTGTATGCCAATTGCTCCAAAAATCTGTGTTTGCACTCAGTTTAATTTCTCATCAAGCAATAGGTGGGAAGGACCTCAAAAATCAAGGCTGGATGAAGGGCTGGGCACTAGCAGGATGGGAGTTCTCATCTTCATGCTGCCTGGATGTTCCCAATTATATTTACTTTGCAGTTTATGGCACTAAGAAAAATTGCCTTGTCCATTTAAACCATGCAAAAAAAAAAAAAAAAAAAAGGAAAAAGCACGTGGTACTCATGCAGCACAAAACCTTCTTGTTCCCACTTTTGAAGAAAGTGGTTCACACATTTACTTGAAAGAAGGCTTGATGCATTACAGCCAGCAGAAGTCAATCATTCTGTATGAAGACTGAAACTACCCAGATGAAACTCTTTCCTTCCCGTGGTAAATAATCTCTGAACTCGCAGTGTAATTGCTTTCCCCTCTTTTCATTATTGCCTTATTTTTCAGACCCTTTTAGTTCACAATATTTTAACAAATGCTTCCTATGAAGAAATACAAATCTGACATCCAGAGCAGTTTGAAGCCCTGCAAGAAAGGGTGGCAAAGAGAAGAAAAGGAGTGTTTGTTTGGAGGTGAAGAATGTACAGAGGCTCTTAGAAGAGTTTCTGTTGCCTGGTTCTATGACAGCGGCACCCCTTGCCCTGCTCAACAGGACAGTGCAGACAAAAGGCTGCTGTGTCCAACACCACACCTGGAAATAGGTCACCAGGAAAATGATACCAATTATGCAGAACCTTCTGACTCATGGCTTGTCCAAAGCAGGTGGATAGGGTTAATACAAGGTTCTGCTTGACCGCAAGCACTGTTTCCAAGGAAAACTTCCTTAATTTGCGATGCTCACAGATCAAAAGCTTCAACCTGGATGGATGCAACAGGAAGCAAAGCACCATGGCTAGTAGCCAGAGCGGCTTGCTAGTCAGACACATGGGCCAAGTATGAGCAGTGTGGTATGGCAGACCTTTAGATTTTTCCGTCACCAAGCACGTGACAAAACAGAGACCCCAAAATACACATGTAACCACTCAGCTCCAAACAGGGGCCCACGGACTTAGATCCAGTTTCTCCACCGGCATCTGATTGCTCCTCTCCGGCAACAGCATCAGCTCCCCACAGCCTCTTGATCCTCTCCTGGAGCCTTCCCTAGGGCTAACCCAAAACCAGGGAGAAGCCCTAAGCTTGCTCCAGTTCGCGCTCACTGAAGCGTCTCACTGCTCTGGGGATGGGAACTGCTCGGAAGAAAGGGCATGAACAGCTGACACGGGTGACTCACGGGCTTGCTCGTCACCCCGTGAGCACGGTCAGTGTTGGAGGTCCCACCTGTGCTGGATTCAGCTTAGCCTGCCTGGCCCTGACGGGGCGGCACGGTGGTAGTCACAGGCATTACTCTCACTCCAAAATTGCTCACCTTCTGCGAGGTGCCAGCCGAGCCCTCCTGCAGGCTAACAGAGATCTCAGGGTAGGCTGGAAAGCAAATAGAAATGGATTAGTGAAATGGATACCAGAGGTCATAGTTGCAGCTTCTAATAAGGCTTAACAGCCATGTTTCATAAAAACAGTGGAAATTAAATCCTATACCCACCCACACACCTAGCAAGATAAAAGCTTGCACAGCTCCAATTTGAGGTCAAGGAAGTGGTTTACAAGCCTGTATCAGCAGCTACGACCACAAGATCCATGATGTATTTCACTGCCTATCTAAACTGCTCCTGGGTGGCTTCGCTGGAGAAACGAGCTGAAACCACCCTGCAGTCACAGCTTCGGCAGCAGAGACACCTTTCCCAGGCCTGCTGGAAAAAACACTCCCCAGTTGTTGGTTCCTCCGGGTGTTTGTCAGTCCAAGTCATCTGCAAAGGCTTTAGCCATCCCCAAAAATGTTGCCTGATTATGGGTACCAGCTACCCCCATGTGGTCGTCTGGGCAGATGTGTGACACTGTCACATCACAGACGCTTCCTGCCTTGCTGGGAAGCCCAGAGCTCACCTTCACAGCACAGCAGTGGGTCTCTGATGACCGCATCCACAAGAGGTGGAAAAAGTGAGTTCTTTTGTTTTCACAGCATTTTGGTCCTAGGCATGGCTGACTGCATAGGTAAAAGCTATCATGTACCATAAGCCTCGCTAAGTTGGCATTTTTAAATTAGCCGTTGGGATCACTGGTTCACAATGATATTAACTGGCTTGCTAAGTAAAGACTGTTGAAACTGTGATAGTATATAGGAAAATCTCAAAAGACTTGGATAAATTGTGCTTCTGGCCCTTTCTGAGCCTTAAATCTGGACTGGAAACAAGTGCAGCCCCTGGATTACTTAGGAGATCCATAAGTCTTTCTCTTTCCAGCCTAAACCTCACTTTAATTTCTACCATTAAGATAATTTTCTTTTCTTTTCTTTTTTTTTTTGTAATTTTTTTCTAACCCTGTTAATTGATGTTGGGTCACCTCAGTTCATTATATTCCCCTCTGAGGTGAACTGCTGACGATTTCCTGTTGGTTTATATAGCAAATCCACCAAGGACTCTCCTGCTTTCTATTTTTTTTAATTTCCATTTTTCTGCCTGGTGTTACTGATAGATTATGCCTGGGAATGACCTATATTTAATTCTCATCGCCTTATGGTTTTATGTACTTAGTGAACTTCTGGGGTGGAATTTCCTTTTTCTCTTTTTTTTTTTTTTGGTGTGGATTCTTAAGATTTCATGCTTGTTCTTGCCTTGCTAAAACCACAGGTGGTAGTAGGGCTGGCAGAAGACAAACATGCTTTATCAGAAGTAAGAAAAAATATGGTAAACTGGACCTTCTAATCTCAGCTAAAAGTTGGGTGGGAGACTAAATAACATCTAATCTAGTGCTTGCTCTTCTTCTTCTTTTTTTTTTTTTTAATGAGAACATGTATGATTTTCCACATCTGTATGGGAGGCTGTCCTCTGCTTTCTCAGAAGACATGTTTGCTGGGTAACTGTTCTGGCAGGCAGCTTTCAAGCACAGCTCTGAATGATCGAATAGATCTCTTCCATTTAACATTGCAGCCCCTATTAACAGTTTGACATTTATTTGTCTTGCTAGGATATTTACCAATGTTTTGGATCTAGCAGAAATTCAATATTTAGTATAGTAGTGTCTGCTGCTGAGCTTTTACTCTTACAAAAAGGAGAAATCAATATTTGGCAAAGTTAGACGTGAAAAGGCCATACATTTTCTCAGAAACTTGTACCTGAAAGAACTCTGTTGTAAGTAAGAAATATTTTAAAGCACTTCAATCCAACAGTACTCTCTTAAAAAAAGGCTCTTTCAATTGAACGTCTGTTTTTACTCAACGTATCAAGACTCTCATCTTCATGGAGAGACTGTTCATGCCTTCCCCATCCTCTCCTGCCCAGCTCTCAGTCATACCCAGGCTGCCTCAAGCATCGGTGGGGAGGCACCACTGCTGCCCCTCAGACTTGGGCTGTCTCCACTGTGCTTAGCCCTGAAGCATTTGTCAGAGCAATCCTGCTCAAAGACCTTTCCAAGGCAACGGTACCTTCCTCTCCTCTTCCTGCCCCTTACAGTGCTGTGGAGCACCAGCTGCCTGCCCTCCTTGCCCTTCTTCCATGCCACCCAGGCCCTGGGGTTCACTTGCAGGAGTGTTTGGGTGACAGGGGGGATGCTGGCTTGCTGAGATGGGAAAATCTCCCCAGGCTTCAGTTGGCCTTGGTTCTCTAGCTACGTCCTTTCTAATGGCCAGGACAACAGACATAGCCAATATAACGTGCTGTTGGCGTTGTACACCCTTACTACCGTGCTTTAGCTCCTGCCCTGGCCATGTGAGGCTGGGTGTTCCTGCTGTCATCTGAAGTGGCTGATTGTCTGTCCCCAGCTGGAGATTATTCTGGCTGCTGTCTCTGTCTATTCTCTGCCAGTTCCTGTCCTGCTAATGCATGGGAGTGGGGGCTGGCTCAGGGATGGCTCTGGACCATTTGCTCTCCCTCTCCCCTCCCACTGCAGCACTAGAGAGGTAAATGGAAAAAAAGCTGGTATAGTACAATCGTAAGCAGCATGACATCAGCAAATGGTAACAGAAAATAGTTATTTTACCTGCAAAATATCATATGTGAAAGGGCTAAGAGCACAAAAATGCCACTCCTCCAAGATCTGGATTCTATTGGCCTGAGATCTTGGAGACCTTCCTCAGCACCCATCACAGACCAGGTTCAGGGAGCCCCTTCACCTAACCCTGCCCTCAGGACACCTGCAAGGGAGGCTGATGGCACAGCACCCTGCTCCAAAGCCTGCCAGCACTTTGTGCGAGCATCACGGGCTGTTCTCCTCCAAGGGCTATGGCTGCTTTCTCTTGTTTGCCTCTGTCCCCCGTTGCACTTACGTGCTGCTGTGGGCGCATGCACAAGATAACCTCACGTGACACAGTAATTCAGAGAAAAAGCCGACCAAAGCAACCACTTAGGCTAACAGGTATGCAAACCAAGGCGACAGCATCAGCAGGGAAAGAAGGGAGGGAGAGTTCAGGTTGTTAGTATACTCGAATAATTATGCAGGTAACACTAAAGCTATTTGATAAATGTTGATTTTTAAAACTAAGACCCATGTCTGAATCATGCAAACGCAAGAGGAAATTTCAGACTGTTAACTTCTATTTTTATTTCTCTTGTGTCAGTGACCAGCAGCCCCTAGACATGGGGTTTGCTTTTTTTTGTTTGGCTGCACCCTGTTGAATCTCTCTTTGCATTCAGAGCATCAGCCTCACATGGCTGGGCTGTTCTCAAGCAACTAGCTGCAGTCAAGGGACTGTTGACAGACCACTGTTTAACACCCATTCATTTTAGGAGCATTGGATGTACATTTTCCAGACTCACTGCTCTCTAAGCAGAAAATACAGCCTGGTTTTCAGTGGGTAGAATTTTTCTAATTTGGTTGTACCTCAGCAATTGTAGAGTAGTTCCTAAGCCACTAGAAAGGGAACAGAGCAAGCAATTAAGATGGGGAAGGCTTCCAGCATGAAATGCCAGCCCACACATTGGTGGCACATGGGCCCTACCACTCCTGACCAGTTTGAGACCCCCAGGCGGGACATCATTTCCAGAACCAGAGCCTTTGGCAGCAGGTGAACATCACATACCTTTGGGCATGTGACTTTCTAACAATGGGTTCCAAACTGCTTTGGCTGCATACTCAGTTTTGGTCGTGGTTAACTGACCAGGGGTCATTTTGTCATGACATGGTCATTTTGTACCTGGAGCACAGAGATCTTGATGGCCAAGGTGCTTACCTGTAACCCACAAAGTGCCAACATAAGCTTACACATGGCATGAGATAGTGACAATGGGATGACAGTGGTGTTGATGGGCACAATGGGTCTTACTATTTTGATGCCAGAAATTGAAAGAATGCCCTCAAATTCTTCCTAAGAATTATGGGGTTATGCGTACCCCATCTGGAGTACTGCGTCCAGCTGTGGAGCCCTCAGTATCAGAAGGATATTGACCACTTGGAGCGAGTCCAGAGGAGGCCATGAAGATGATCAGAGGGCTGGAGCACCTCTCCTATGACGAAAGGCTGCGAGAACTGGGCTTGTTCAGCCTGGAGAAGAGAAGGCTCCGAGGAGACCTCATTGCAGCTTTCCAGTATCTGAAGGGGGCCTACAAGGGTACTGGGAGAGGACTTTTTACAAGAGCCGGTAGTGATAGGACAAGGGGTAACGGGTACAAATTGAAATCAGGGAGGTTTAGATTAGATGTCAGGAAGAAATTCTTCACAGAGAGGGTGGTGAGGCACTGGAACAGGTTGCCCAGAGATGTTGTGGATGCCCCATCCCTGGATGTCTTCAAGGCCAGGCTGGATGTGGCTCTGAGCAACCTGGTCTAGTGGAAAGTGTCCCTGCCCATGGCAGGGGGTTGGAACTAGATGATCTTTAAGGTCCCTTCCAACCCTAACCATTCTATGATTCTATGATTCTATGACATTTTAGCTCATTGCAGCTGAAAAAAATACAATGTAAATATGCATATATAAAACACATTGGTGTATTTCAAAAGCTATTACCTTTTACCTGAACCAGACAGGAATGTTACCTTTCCAAGTGCAAGTAAGCAGCAGTTGGCATAAGCCACTTACCGAATACTTCCACGGTAGTGCTGCTCTTCCGGACTCTCTCTGGGTGATACACCACATGGCAAGAAAACACCCTGCCATGATCTGTGATTTTGGTGGGGAAAATCTTTAGAGCGTTATTCAAACCCAGGTGGACTCTCTGCCTGTACGGCGCACTGACGTTCCTGTACACTGCCGGACAGAAGGGCTCCTTGGTCACAAGTTCCTCTTTCCTGCCATTTTCCCCCTGTAAAAAGAGCAACCCACACAATGTGTGAAGACCAGACACCTCCTCTTCCTTCCCCCCCCCGCCCCCCAGTATTTCTGTAGACCAGCTCTATTCCTACTTTGAAAATCTTCCCTTGCACCCCTACTATTGCGTAGTACTAAACGGACATTTGCAACATCCTTTTTTTTTTTTCCCAAGTACATTCTCTCCCAGAACTTCAAACCCAATAGTGGTCACCATCTCACCAATGAACCAGGGTGTAAGTAGCTGTGTCTTACGAGTGCTGGTGTCTGTAGCCTGCAGAGAGGGCAACAGAGCTGCGTTCTCACTGCAGCAATCTTTGTTATGCTGAACATCCCATACTTATTACATATATCTGAAATTCCAAGAAAACCCCTGATCTTTCAGATTTGAAACAGTGAGAACCTGGCAACAAGAGCTAAAAGTCATCTCCTGTCGATGCCTGAGTGCCAGCCACCCTCAGATATAGGTGCAGCTGGCATGTCCCGGACATCTGTGCCTCGGCACATATTTGCAAGCTACACCCTGAATGCTGCATGGCAACCCGCCTATGTCAATGTTCTGACCTTAGTGGGTTTTTTCCCTTCCTCTAATACTTGTGGAGTGAACTAGCAACACTACAAAATGCTAAGGACAAAGACATTCCCTACAAAACTTTCAAGAATTTTAACATTAAGAATGCACAGCAAAGGGGAGATCTAAACAGATAATGAGCTGGGATAAAAGGCTAAAAAAACTAAAATATTTGAAAATCACCTTTAAGAAAACCCTCAACAGTGACAACAGATGGAAATCAACAGGCACAGCTCAAGGACACTGCTGGCTGACACTTATCTCTACATACTGAAATTAATGCTGAAATATTGCATTAAAACATGCATTTAAATATTTATCCAGAAAGTGAGATGGAGTACAAAAATATAACGAGACTTATATCTCAGAACAAATTGCTTAAAAATAGTTTTCATGTGGTTAGCTAGATAACTGGGTTTGCATGTCTTTGGCGTGCATCTGTGACACAGAGGTTAACAAAACCAAAAGCATTACAGTCAGCGCCCTTTTTTTTTTTCCTGTTTCAAAGCGGCCTGATGTCTCGCTACCCTACGCAGTAACCACATATTTTTCAGAGACATTAAAGCTTCCCTACAGCAAAAATCCCCGAGAAATCCAAAGCAAGGAATGTTTTAGTTCTGTTACATTTGCTAAGTTCTTTGCCACTTTCCACAAACCTGTTCTACGTGTACTCCTAAAAGATTAAAAGCGATTAAGATGTAATTTTTTCTCTTTGTTTCCTTAACAGCTATTGTTTGTGGTGTCTATGTGGCAAAACCACATTTTTACTTTTTCCCTTTATTATCACAGTCCAACATGACCGATAGTACCTTTTGTTTAGCAGATTCTGTAGGACACAGGGAAGTCTAACATTTCTATTTCAACCTGCCAAAATACTCTGTAGTTCCTTCTGAAATTTATACCTGAGATGAAAAATACTTACCACTAGCCATTTCAAAGGATAATTGGACAAATTTTCTGAGGTTGTGTCCTCAAGGCACGGAATTTCTAAAGTCTGGTTTAACCACACTTCCTTCACGTAGTGCTGCTCCTCTGTTTGTCATTGCAACAACAACAAAAAAAGCCCAGGAAGGAAAATCAGAAACATGGTGTTCATTGTGCTTTAAAATCCAGTGCTGACTAGTCTTCTGTTCAAGGAACGGGCACTTTTTTGATTAGAAGGGAACTGTAATTTTCAACCATTACCCACAGACACATTTGTTAAGTGAAAGCCCTGCATCTGAATCTAGGTGCAGTTTCATGACTTTAATTCACAGGTTTACCTGAGGTTTTAGGCAATTCATAAAAACATTTGCTTAATTGCGGGATCCTTTTGGGGCTGAGAATAATTTGAAACTTCAATTTTTCACTTACAATTTTTTTCCTGTGGCAATAAACCTTCACATCAATTTTGTGCAACTGTACTTCCTTTCCTCTGAAAATATCCACAGACCTTCTTTTCACTAAGCAAGGTGTTCAGCATGTCAGGCAGGTTAAGATGAACCCCGTTTTTCTGAGTAAGTGCTCCTTTTGTTATTCTCCAACCTGCCCGCTACCAGAAGTAGGGAACTTGTCGCTCTTTTGTCAACTATTTAAAAAAGTACCTCAGCACATCCTACCCTACCCATTCCCAGCCCACCCATGGAAGGGCATAGTGATGCACCGAACAGAGCACAGCTGTGGTCCAAACACTGGGTCTGCCTCTGCACCTGCATTTCAACAGGAAGAGCAGTGGTGATGGACAGGAGATGCTCCGAGTGCCTCGGTGGGCGCTGATCTCTCCGACCCTCAGCCCTGCGGCGGGCGGTAGCACTGTGCAGCCTGCTGTGCCGGCCAGCCTCCCTGTCTGCTGACGCCGTGCTGCACAGACCTGCCTTCCCACTTCCTTGTAGGCGGGCGCGATCCCACACCACAGGGAAACTCTTGACCTTTGCTCTCCTGGTAGCTCTGGCTTGCATGCTGAGATAGAATAGATATATATTCTATTTATTTTTTTGTCTTGAGGGGAAGGAGACTATCTAGAAGGCCCAGACTGTTAGGTTGTTTGGCAGTGGGGACTTTCTGGTGACTGTGACTTCCCTTGTGTCTGGTACCCAAGCATGGAGTGACAGTGCCAGAATGCAGCTGGTGTAACAGGGATGTGGAGAAAGGCAGAGCCCAGAGTAGTGCCCAGGAGACCCAGTGGCAGAAGCAGCTCATCTCCATGATCCACCGCCAGCTATCACAGCGGGACACAGAGTGCACAAGCCCTAAAGGGGCAGGGTGGTGGAGAAAGGATAATGAAAAGGCAAAGGAAACAAATCTATAGCTTCCCCAGGAAGGAAACTGCACAGGAGACTTTGCTGGAACAAGCTACTGTGCAGAAGTGCCGTGCAGCATACGACAAGCACGAAGATGAGTCGTCATCCCAGGAGCTCAGTCTGGAAACAGCCTCTGCCCGTTCTCACAGTCAAGTGTCCCAGCTGCTTATTTTCCCCCCCATCTTTGATTCCCATCTCTATTAACAGCCTGTTGGCTGAGGTCCTCCGTGTTTGTCAGCCCTATGTAGGCCTGCTGCTTTGTGGGCTTTTTGCAGTATCTACTAGTTGAATCCATCTGGATTCACTTCACTTTGATGTGTCTGGGAGCTGTACTTCATTAATGACTAGCACCCTTCTCTGTCCCACTCGTAGGCTGGATTAAGGTCTTTTGCCTTCTTTGGATTTGAAGTTGTCCATTGCAAAAGATCTGGTTACCTTAAAACACAAATCTGCAAGAGGCATGCTGGAAATGGAATTTTTTAGTTCTCTCTAGCCAGCAGTTCTTGGTAGCACAGCTTGCTACATCATGAAGTTGCTGAAAAAGGTCACAGTGATGCTGATATGAACAGGAGCTGCCCACATTTAACATGTAGACAGAAATAGCGGCATTGAACACGCTAGTACCAACCCAGGGCACCAGCAAGAGAAAAGGGGCAATGCATGATTACAGCTATTACTATATTAAGGAAGAAACAGAGAAAAATCACATCAAGAACAGATGCATGGGAGGGTCTCACACAGTTACCAGCACTGTACACCACCGCTGTCTGCTTGATCCAGCCCTTCTGCCCTGTGAAGTGCAGGCAAATTCCCAAACAGGAGGCAACCGCAGCACAACCCTGTACAGCAGGAAAGCGGCAGCTTCGTCCTTGACACAATGACCCAGCATGTACTCTTTAAACACCCCCATCCTCTATGGGACGTGCTGGCTCTAATTTTCCCTTTACAGGATCATCAGGACAGGAAGGTACCACTGGATTGCCCCTGAGATATGACCCTGGGATAACAGCACCCAAACACTTGGAGCCACTGCCGTGCAGGGGCCATCCGGGAGTCAGGCAACAGCTTGGGATGAACATCCCTGTGTATGAGCCTTGCACAGGGCCCAGAGTTTGCTTGTCCAGAGTTGCCAGTCTGCTTCAGAGGGAAGCTGCTGCTGTGGCTGCTGAGGAGCTGTGCCCTGTCCCTGACCCCATGGAGTCAAGGCTCCTTCTGCTGCAGGACCAACATGATCCAGTGTGAGGAGCAATGTCCTTCCTGCCACTGGTCTGGCCTCACAGCACAGGCCAAAGGGGCGGTGGGAGTGCTGAGCCCATGGGTGGTGCTGCCTCAGTGCTCTGCTGCCCTCTGCTATCCCTTATGACACCTGCACCCACCCTGCTTCTAACCCTGAAACATACGCTGCACCTACAGCCCTGGGCACAAGCAGGGTGGGCACACTGGCCTTGCAGCTCTGAGCTGAAACCATGAAGGTTTGCTGCATCTACTTTAACCCTTCTTGGCTTGCTAACAGAAACCTGGGTCGGGAAGAGGTTTCTGGGGTCATCAAATCTAGTCCCCCATGTGCATGACGACAAGCTTGCCCAACATCCTTGCCCAGCTCCATCTTCATGGCAATTTGGACTTCTGCCCTCACTTCTGGCATTAAACAGCTGTTCCCAAAGTTGCTGCACTAATGGTTGCCACCATTGTTTAATTTGTAGCCAAATACGTTCACAGCGTATTTAAACCCATTTGTTCCTTTGCCAAGATAATTTAAATATCCTCCCTGGAGTTCATACTCTCCCCTGAGGCTTACTTAAAAAGAGCAGTTATGCTGCTTTCTAGATTCCTTTTGGCTGACAGAAGCAGCCACGTCTCCATTCCTGTAATCGTCCTAAGCAACCCCTGTTTTGCTCCAGTTCATTTTTCATGGTGGGGACACACATCACTCCCTTGAGCTGACACCCAGCACGTGCTGCAGATGCCAGCCCTCAGTCTTGACCAGACAAGGATGTCTTTTCTTTCGTCTGGCCAATGCTGCATGCTCACAGCAGCAGCACAGTGTGGTTTGGAGATCCAGCATCCTTGGTCCCACCATATCCTGAGCCACTCACCCAGTATTCTCTGCATCATGTTTCTCCAAAAGGGAAATGTGGAAACTGCCCATCTCACCATCTTTTCTCCTTGCTGTCTAACTTCATATTCCTCCAAACAAATAAGGTTTCCTAATCAGGAGCTGGATAACAACAGCTAAAGGGTGGCGGGTAAGTAAGAATCTGTGTAGACAACGGCATTCAGTGGCACCATTGCAAAGCCCAAACAAGTCACCATCACCGACCAAGAAATGGTCATCCATCTGATATTCCACCCCCGCCCTTGTTACAAAAAAACAACATCTTATTCGTTATCACTTACCTTCCGCCTTGACAATAAGCTGAATCTTTGTAGCCTTTGTCCCATGTGGGTAAGTGGCAAAACTGCACTCGTACTGCCCGCTCAGGGAGACAGTAACATTTTTCAGATGCAGAGCCCACTGATTGCACTCAGTTGCAATGTTTGGATTGGGGGAACATGGACCCTCTGTAGCATCCTGGTCACAGCACTTCCTTGTGCTGAAGGACACCGAAAAGTTGTAAGAAGCCTCAGGAAACGTGAAGTAATGGGTTCCATAAACGGGGTGATAAACAGCTATTATGGTAAGCTGGGTGTCGTCCGTCTTGGACCACTGTGTCTGTATTACGTAGGTGGTGTTTGGTTTTGGCAAGCTGCACACCAGGGTCACTTCAGTACCCGGCAAAGCGTGGACCACTTCAGCTTGTGTAATGACGTCTTCAGGCTGGCCTTAAAACCAAACAGAACCGTTTTCAGTGCAAGAAAAGTTTAAACAAAGCTTTCTCCTAAGCTGTCTTTGACATGCTGTGGTGCCTTAGCCCCAGAGAGCCACAAAGAGCGTACAGCTGTGACAACGACAGGCTTTCCAGCTCGGAGCTTTACCGCAGACCTCCGCCGGTACAAACTGCAGAGAGAGAACCTGGAGGGCAAATGCACACTCGTCTGGAGGTGGGTGGGGAGCTCCTGTCTCACTCGCGAGAGAGAAGCGGCTATTCTGGGGGCCTCGGCAAAAACGGAAGTCTTTCTAGTGATATAAATAAGGCAGGAGCTGGGTCCACTTATTCCCCAGCTCTTTTTGCAAGAACAGATGAGCTGTCTCTGCTGGCTAATTCCACCCTGAACTGTTCACACTGCCATTGCATTTGATGCTTCAACAGTGAAAGCTGCTTTTTTACCTCCTTGTTGAACAGCTCCTGCGTAGCCTAAACGAGCCTCCGTTTCAGTGCCAGAGTGAGATGTCCTGGTAGGTATGGTTTCTTCCTCAATTAATTTCACAAAGCAGGTTGGCCGTCCTTCGTGTGCCATATAGCGGAGTAATGGATCAGGGAAATGAAGAGGCTTTCAGTGTGAGCCTGCACTACTCCGTTTTGCTGCTGCTGGAGCAAAATTGATTTCTCTCCCTTTCTCCCTCCTGTGAACAAGAGGCTCGCACTCCCCAAGTCCCTATATGCAGGGCACTGACAATCTCAAGGAGATGAAGAATTTATGGATGGGGGAGCCGTAGTGAGACAAGTAATCCATCACACCCGCAGAACCATGCACAAAAAGACTCTTTTTGAAAAGGGCATGCAGGTCCCCAGAAAAAATGAGTTTGTGCAGATGTTCTCCGGTACAGACCTGTTGCCCCCCCCAACTCTGTTGGATTTTATCCTCCCTGCGTATCAAAACATTACTGTAAATTTGCTCTGGGACCTTGCCCCGCAGTCCCACCAGCCATACCGCTGTCTCCCCATGGCAGCAAGTGCACACTGCTCACATTCTTTACTGGAAAAAAGCAGGGACACATTGCTTTGCTTTGACATCTGTTCTGCTGTGCAGTACAGGGCGTTGAGATGCCTGAGCCAGGGGTTGCCCTGCCAGAGGCCAGGCGGCCTCGACGGTGCCCGCAGCGGGGATGGCGTGCCCCACGCTCTGCCAGCTCAGCTGGGAGCAAGATGGGGACCTGGTGCACACACAGCTCCACTTTGTCAGGGAAGAGGGACAAGGACAGAAGCCCACATCCTCGCAGAGCTGGCTGAGATTTGGTACCTAACCACTGAAGTGCAACACGGGCACGTAGAGACTAAGTGCACAGAGAACAAAGCTACTGATTGGCCCCAGCCAACATTAATCTCTGAGTTTTATTGCTGTGCATGCTCTGTTCAGTTTTTAATTGACTTCCAAGAGATGGCATGATGTAAGAGGGTAAATAAAATTAAGCCTGAGTGACAAGTGCTGTGAGAAAAATTACTGAGACCTATTTTTGTCAGACCAAGGAGCTTATTACAGCAAAAGCTCACTGATTTCACTGCACATTTTGCATCAGTAAAAGTTAAGTAAAAAGCGATTAGCAATCTTGTGATCAGGCTACCAGGCAAGGGACACCTAGGAAGTTATCTCTCGTATTTATACTGATGCTGTATTAGGTCAAAGGATCACATAAAGAATGCTAGACAAGAATTACCTGAATATTTTATATTAAGATGAAAAAATTACATATGTAGAAACATCGTTTTAATGTGTGTTGTTTGTTAGTAGCCTAGCAGTTAAAGTTGAAACCCTTTCACGCAGAAATCTTCTTAACTTTTTGTTAGCCTCTCATTCAATTAGTCTCATTTAATTGCAACTTTACTTTTCCAAATCAAATGCTGTCCATTAGCCCATACTTGTGCTCCAACTGAAATTGAGTAGAGTAACTCCCAGACATTTAGATGTTTCATCTCCACAAAGGGCACGGTGGTGTCCACGTTAACCTTTGAGAGACTTCAGTGAGGATTTCATCCTCAGGAGAAAAAAAAACCTATGGTCCTATTTTTTCCTCAATAGTTTTGCTTTCCAGCAGTATGCATGTCTTGAGACTTCTAGTTCTTTCTTTGCATTTGAGAACTTCTATTTTTTATAAATACATGTATGAAATGTTTTCCTTTTCTTTTTTTTTTTAATCCAGTTTGTCTCAGTGATGTAGCGAATGGGAACCACCTGTGCCAGATTTTGAGATGCATCTTACCATGCCAGTCAAACACGTTAACTTTTTCATTTCTTAAGGGGAAAAAGGCGTATCCTACAAAATTCTTCTTCCTAGCTGATAATTAATACTCTTGCATTCATCATGGTCAGCCTGTTGTAGGGGGCTTTTTCTCAGTTTTCCTCATACGGTTTTTGATTTAAACTCCCTCTGGTGGGGATGGAGCTTTCCTTACCCAACTTTTCTGGAAATTTTACTCCCAGTGACAAGCTTGTTTCTCAAGCTTTTAATGCAGCACATAGGGCTGGATGGGGAAGAGGAAGGAAGAATCTATTTTAAGGGGTGCAGCTGTACAATTTATTCTCACCTTTAAGTGTCTCAACTCTTTTTCTCTCTGCTTCCACAGGTGTGCATGTGAGAAAGAGAGATACTTTTTATTGTTCTTTGAAAGCAGTTTTCCTTTTGGCCATTGGAGACAAGAACATGTTACCCTAAATACAAGCGAGCTCACAAATACAATCTCAGTGATTTTTCTGGTGTAAACAGGTTAGGCATTTTGAACAAACTAATCTGCTAGTCCACATAAGCCATTTACTCCTTACTAGGTGCACATTATAACCAGGGTTATTAGAAAGTCTCCAGGACACAGCAGGACCAGTAGCTACAGCTTGTCCTGGTGAGTCACACCAACCTCTGGCCATTCCACCCTGCCTCTCACCACCTTCCATCATAAGGGGAGTCAGGGGGTCCCGCCGACACACTCACCTGCAACGCTGGGCACTGAGAGCAAGCAAAACAGGGTGAAGAGCCACTTTTTTTCCATCTTCCCTTGATGAAGTTTTGGTAAAGACGTAGCGCACTTGGCCTGCTCTCAGCAGTGTCTCGGAAAAGGAAGTAAAAATGATCTACCCTGTGCAGACAGGCAGATGTGCACAACAGTCACACTCATCAGTTTAGCGTGACTTCAAAGAAATGCTCCATTAAATGCGAAAGCCTCAGTTTCCTGCCGAAGCGATACAATAAGTACATCTTGTGAAACCTTTATGTTGAAAACACTACCTATATTGCAAGCCCATGTTCAACACTACTCTTTCTTTTTTTTCTTTCCAGATAAGCTCAGAATAAGCAGTTTACTGGGTCAAATTCTCTTGAAAACTTGTCAGGTCTCTAAAGTTGAATATCTGGTACATAGCATACAAAAGCTGACTTTCCCCCCTGCTTCATTTCCTTTGCATGTTCACAGAATCACAGAGTGGTAGGGGGTGGAAGGGACCTCTAGAAATCATCTAGTCCAACCCCTCTGCCAGAGCAGGATCACCTAGAGCAGATCACACAGGAACAAGTCCAGGCGGCTTTTGAAAGTCTCCAGGGAAGGAGACTCCACCACCTCTCTGGGCAGCCTGTTCAGTGCTCTGTCACCCTCACAGTGAAGAAGTGTTTCCTCATGTTCAGGTTGAACCTTCTGTTTTCCAGTTTATGGCCATTGCCCCTCATCCTGTCACTGGACACCACTGAGAAGAACCTGGCCCCATCTTCCTGACACCCACCCTTTATATATTTATAAGCCTTGTTATTCCAGAATAGCGCAAATATACTATTTCCAGACTCTCTACACTCATTATCTTTAAAGAAAACAGCAAAATAACAGAACAAACCCCCTAAATTAAAATAGAGTGAATTGAGCATTGTCCAGATTCACTTCCCTCCCCACCCCGCCCCTCCGCCTCCCCTCTGCCACAAAGTAAATAATTAATTATTTTCTGCAGGATGAATTTTTACAGCATCACACATGACAAGATCACTTGGTGTGGTTAATGCCTCTACCTCACTCTCTGCAGCTGTTAGCTTTGGTGCTGGCATGTGGCTCCAGCCAGATCTGTGACCCATCTTTACTGCAAGTCATTTGTAAATCCTCCTGAACTGTCCTCGAAGCATGCTGCATTTCCATACAGCAGGCATACACCTGTCAGCAAAGCATCTTATTGCAGACAGGTCTTGTGCAAATTGGACCTGCTGCTGATGGCTTTTCAGAAAGACAACAGATTTGAGCTCTTGCTTACTACGCTTCTTTCCCTGAAACTAAAAGTTCAGGGCAGGACACCTCACGTCCACAACACAAATGTACACTGCTTGCTGACTCTTCCCGGGATGGGATGGGTGTTAGGAAGGGCAGCTGGGCAGAAATATGGTTGCCCTGACAGTCCTCTTCCTGGGGGCCCAAGGACAACCCATCCTTTGGCTCTGGGAAGAGCCAATTGCAGCCCATCCTCAAGGCCAGAGAAAGCAAATGTCCTGGATGAGACACATCCACCAGCTCACTCCACCAGCAGTGGTCTCCCTCCGGTGGCTGGTCTATCTTTGGGTGATCCAGGTCCTGGCATTTCTCTCCTGAAAGCATTTCCAGGGGGTTTGGGTGCCTTTGTCAACATCTTTCTTTTGTGGCATCACTGTCTGCTGTTCAGGCAAGGCCTACAGAAACTGCCAGCCACCACCTGCAATTTTCTTCCCAACTATTTTCCATTTCCTTCCCGACTCTTGACTTTTGCTGACTGTAGAGCTCCCCACAGCTCCAGCATGTAAGGCACAGAGTTCAAGGTAAAAAAGAAAGAGCTCACTGGTCATTTCCCTATTTTGTGCACTACCAGATAGCAACAACATCTATACCACTTCCCTAATTTGTGCACGTGCAATCTTTTATGTTAGCACATTTAAGGAGGCTAAGGTCAGCAGCTGGAACAGCTGGTGCTGCTGGCCAGGCTGTAGTCAAGTCTCCGGACATGTCTTGGAGCATAAGTGCTGTTGCACAGTTCCTCTCATTTGCACTGCTCCCTTGCCTGAGGAAACACACTGAAAGCAGTTGTGGTAAATGCGCTGGAAGCCCAGGTTACTGCTAAGGAAATACTCTCTGGGGATAAAATCTCTGCTTGTCACTCAGAAGCCTGACAGAAAGGCCTCTCTCAGAGGATGAAGAAGTCCTGAAGTTGAGGATTAACAGAATATTCAAGCCATTGCAATTGAGAGGCACAGAAGTGGTTATTAAAAAGGTACATGTTCTGGTTTCTAGTTCAGAGCAGAGACCACAAAGAACCCAGAGATTATCTGCAGAGACTAAAGTCCAAGAAAATTGGACTTCTGCCTAGAATTTGGGCTTTCGTTCATGAGTGCAGTTACCTTAGCTTCACCTGCTGATCAGATCATGCAAGCTTTGTACCATGAGAGAATGTATTTTGTGTAACGTAGGGGGAAAAAAATCTCCAGTGCTCCTTTTCGCTGATCTGAAACATATATCACAATTCAAGATGACAGCATGAGTGCCGTGTGGTGTATTCACTAGCCATAGAAATCCCTGAGCAGCTTGTTT